TATATCATTTTAAACGATTTTAGATAATATTCATAAAAATTAGAATATTTAGAAAATTAGAAAATTTATTTAAAAGAAGAAGAAAAAAAGTGTAATATGATATATGTATTTTAATAAAAGGAAGAAAAAAAAAATAAGATTTAAATACATTTGTTCGATCTTACAAAACTACGATCTATGGGAAAACATGTTCTTTGACGTTGGAAAAAAAGTGAAAGACAAAAATGAAAAAGAAGAAGAAGAAGAAGAAGAAACAAGGAGGAGATACACCTCAAAAGCTACACTACCTGCCATCGGACACTAGTGTGACCAGGCTGACCGTCCGACAAGACGCCCACACAAATTGCTCTACCACGTTATTTCGAGTGCTTTGGCCTTGGGTGGCGGCCAGAGAAAACTTTTGAAATATCAGGGAACGCGTTGAGGTTCTTTCTCAGCTATCGGGACTCCTAGGTATCTCTTCTATCGAGTGAGAGCTTGCTAAAGTAATGCAACAATTAATAATTATTATCTAGTAATAAAAGTCTAGTGAGTAAACTATTGATCTCTCTTTCTTCCTCTTTCATTTCAAATCAATTCTAATTCTCGTGAATAATGATAATCAGTATAAACAGAATGTATATGTATATATATATGTGTGCTTCAACACATTTGACCCACATTTTTGTGCAGAGACCAATAATAGTAAATTATGTGAATAATTTATAGGTCGAAGAAACTGAACGTTCTTATATTAAAAGACGTTTATTACTTTGCACTTTTGGCATTAATCTGTTTGTTCCTAGTCGTCTATAAGTAAAACTAGCAATAAGTAGACTTAGGGCTTTCTATTTAGAGTTGAAAAATGTAGTTAATAAGATATCATCACTTGGACGTGTGTTTAACACATTACCTATCTGTCTTTTTATTTTATTATTAATTAACAGAAAAAAATCGATCTATTTTGTATTCATACTATCGAATAATATAAGTATTCTTTAACGTGCCAAAATATTCAACAAAGTTATGATATATATCATTACGTGTCGACTGAATGTTAAGAATCAACACTGTTAGGGAAAAACATATTGGAAGATTATGCGCAACAGGAGGATTAGTTTGAGATGTCATCAAATAATATTTCTTGTTTTTTCTTCTTTTTTTTTTTCTTTTCTTGCTTTAAGATTCACGAATAAATGTAGAACGATAAAGAGATTAATTAAAATAAAGAAAAAAATAAAGAAACCCTGAAAATGTTTCATTTTCAATGTTATTCTACGAGAGTTGATGTTAATAGTTAGAAATCTTGAGGAAAATTTCCAAAGGAATTTTCGTCTTCGACCGTGACGTCACGAACGTATTATTATTTGGCACGGTTAAAACGTGACGTCGCAGTTTGACGAAAGGCCGAATGTCTTTAGGGGGAAAAAAAAAAAAAGAAAAAAGAGAAGAAAGATAGAAAAAGAAAAAAGTATGTGATAGATGGACGTGCGTGGCGATCGACTCGTGTCAGAGTAGAAGGGATAATTGGATTTTTCAAATGAACGTCTCCTTGGCAAGCCGAGAGCACTTCCTCAGCTCGGGACGAGCTTTGGCCGAGTTTGAGGAGCGTCGAGCTCGAGAACGAGTCATAATAATAACGTCTCATGCAAGGATTCTGCTGCTCGTGATCTCTATCTTAAATTTAAATAGAATAGTGCGAATATTGGAGGTAGTTCTGCTGCTGCTGCTGCTGGTTGTGTGTTGGTGGTAGTAGTAGTGGTGGTAGTAGTAGTCGTAATACATTTATTAGTAAAAGTTCTAGTAATACTACTTGCAGTAGTATTAGCAGAAATTATAGTAGACTACTAGTAGAAGTAATAGTTGTTGTTGTTATTCTACTAGAATAACTAATAATAGTAGCATTTTTAATAGTACTATTAGTAGTAATGGTAGTGGTGAGTCACCGAGCGAAAGGTTAATCGCAAAATAAGATTACAAACTTACGACTGGAGTTAAGCCGAGCATAGATACCAACATAAGTGCTCAATATCTAATTTATTTTTCTTTTTTTTTTTTTTCTTTTCTTCTTATCTTCTTTTATTACTTCAACAAAGTCCTATCTTGCTCTTAACATTTTTTTTTTTTTTTACAAAGTTCAAATATTATTACTCGACCAAATTTGTACTTTGTTAAATAATAATCCTCGATAATATTAACTTCGTAACAATTGGCAACTTAACCAAAACACACTTTTAGACACCACCAACTAAGGAATCATTAATTTATTTGATGTTATAGAAATAGTTTATGAGATACGATCCAACTAACCACGATTCGAATTAGATTTGTTACATTTACAGATAATTTTAAGAAGTATTGTATTTAAAATGATATTATTGTATAATAAATAATTATAATAATATATAGTACTCGATATTTTTGTTCAAATTGAGTTTCTTTCCTCTCTCTCTCTCTCTCTCTCTCTCTCTCTTTCTCTCTCTCTTTTTTTTTTTGTATTATTTTAATTACAAATTCAAAAAACAACGTGTATTTTAAAATAAACATAGGAAAAATGTTCTTTACGATTTCCTCGAACAAATACATATATCTATGTACTATTATATATATATACATACTTTCATTTATAACCAATTCAACATACACTCCGTTTTTTTAGATAATTCGAGATGACTTTGCAAAAGTTACAGAGATGGGAACGATACAGTGCTTGGAATATTGCCAATAACAACGAAAATCTGACGCTTCTAACGTAGGATTTTTTTTGTTACGACGCTCGTGGCGAATGCTCGACCAATGTATGATGTTGAAATATTTAAAAAAGAATGCATTATGTTCTTAAAAATAGATTAATTTTTTTTTCTTTCTTTTTTTTTACAAAAGAATAAATAATGATTGAATAATTTTCAATCTGTTATATAATGCTGTTTAAACATTTTCATAGAAAGTATTTCTCTCACTTTTTTTATTTCTTGTGTTTTACTCCGGTTAGTACAAGATTACAAAATTAATATACAATGCAATTTCTTATCTTAATGGATTTACCGAATTAACAAGAATAGAATATCGATATTGATCATTGAAGATCACTGAAATAATAAAGATCTAAACTGATCTAAAGATGTTGTGATTAGGTACATCTAGTTTGGATTTGTAAAGTATTCAAACGATATTCCGACACTATATATACTAGGGGTGCCCCGGCACGCGTGGCTGTGGCTCATAATCAGTCTGATACACACGTCTTTAAGTCAACGAATTACCTTTTTCCGCCATCTGTTAGAATCTTATCGAACTAACTAACGAGATAATCATGACTCTTTGTTAATAAACAAATAATTCGCAATAAAATAATATTGCGATTATAAATTGAGATATTAACTATCCTATCTTTCAAGTTGGATGAAACTGTACACAGTGTGCAAAATTTGATTCAAATCGGTTCAGTAGTTTAAAAATCCATTGCGGACAAACAACGTGTGACACGTAATTTATATATATTATATATAATATTATATTATATTTATATATTATATTTATTACTATTATACTAATAGTATATTAATTATACTATTATATTTATATATATATTATATAAATATTTTATTATATATTTATATATTTATGTATAAATATTTATATAATAAAATAATAATAATAAATATAATATATATTAATACTAATATAATATATACAAATTACATTTAACTTTTTCTGAGTTCCATGGCATAGAAAAAACTGTTTTAAATAATATTTGAAACATAATTTTGTTTAATAAAAATCTTAACAAAATAGATAAAAGCAAATTCTGACATTTTCTTTTTTTTTTTACAGAAATAAGCACTGGGTACATTCAATCATTGTAACAGTTAAATGTACAGATAAGACTGATTTACCTACTTATAATTAATTAATAGAAGATAATATTAAACAAATGAATATTGAAAGAATTTTGAAATGTGTGCATGTGCACGTGCGTACGAACACGCATGTGTGATGATGACAAATATACAGTCAAATACACATATAAATACAGCCGAACACATTATACTTTTCTACCTTTTGCCGATGCCACTTTTACAGCTGTTTCTTTTAACTTTCTTTTATATTTATTACCGATCAAACGATAATCGTTTAATCGTAAACGAGTTTGGGGGTATCATAAATTTCTTTTTAAATTCCAGGTCACTGTAGTTAAAATGTACAAAGAAGAAATCACGTGTTACAAAGTTAACAATTTGTAAATGCAACGACAAGTAGACATGAGTGTCCTTGGAGAGAACCCAAAATACGTCTGACACCTTGCGCTTCAGAACAGTTTCATACTAAAATATCAATTGCGTATTTAATACCTAATTATGTTTCTATTCGATCTATAAGACAGGATAAAATTCATTCGTACGTAATACGTACTACGTGATCAAATTGAAACATTTTTATGTATATATATATATATTATGTATATACACAAAAAATTTAATTATTAAAAATACATTTATAAATTTTCTTATCATTTTAATTAATCGATGATATAAATCTAATTTTTACCGAAATATTTAAACTACAATTTGAATATTTACCTAATCAATGACATAAATTTATATTTAAAATTTAAAAGATATAAATTATTAAAATTGTGTAGATTAAAATAAAATTTATTCCTAAAATTTGTCAAAATAATTATAATTTTAATTTTGAAGTATTAGAAATAATTTCATATTTTCAGGTTTTTTATAAACCCGCGTAATTTATTATTAATGCGGTGCCATCTAGCGGTTTAGTTTCAATACTAACTTTGTTTAAAGATCTTATACTGATGTATGATATGAAGAAATGTGAATAACATAATATAAACTTCTATTACCATTTATGGATAATTTTATTAAACAAAATTATCTACTTCACGCTAATTTTTTATGATTTGCCTGTGTCCTTATTTATTTTATTAATAAATTTATTATTAAATTAATTAATTGTATAATTTCATAATCAATAATAAACGATAATTTTTTCACGTTTCAATATTCATTTTAATTATGTCTATAATTTGAATAATTTTATTTAATACACACATATAATAATTTATATTTATAGCGTGTACTACGTCCATTTTGAAAACTGCAGCATACCTACAATTTCAAGACGTAAGCAAAAAACACTGCTGAATTGATCAACAAAAAATTGTCCTCCGATGTAAATCTAATTAATTGGAACGGTCAACGTGTAATCCATATTCTCTCTTGTTTAAAATAACTTTTTACATCACATTACGTATTTTCATTATTGGCAGGAAAGATTACGATCACTAAATAACAAAAAAAAAAAAAAGACAAAGTAACGTATCAAAACAAAGTAGGACAAAGTAATAAAACATTGACATAACCGTAGAAATATTTTCACAAATTACGGTTGTTGACGACCGTAATATATAAATGTGTCTAATTATAAACTTAAAAATCATACGTTTGTGTCATGATTCATATTAAATATTAAATAATGAAAATAAAATTAAAAAAAAAAAAAAAAATAAAATAAAATAAAATAGTTTATATTACGAAAGTTTTGGTGATATAGAACGACGAATTATCCAAGCCAATATTCCACTAGATACGATTACACTACCTCTGTAACAAATATTTATATATAAATATATTATACATATTACATTTTATAATATATAGAAAAAATAGATATAAATTTGTATATCTTTATAAAAAAAAAAAAAAACTATGTATATTTGAAATATTTCTCTTTATAATTAATGGCTGATATGAAAAAAAAATACTTACAAAAGAAGATACTTCACAGATGGGGCATGTTTTATTGGATTATAACGAACGATACTTAATTCTTTGTTGTTATGAAAATGATTTAAAATATCATACGCGCTATAAAGAAAATTTTGGAAAAGAAAAAAAAAAGAAGAATAATAAATAAAATTATAATATTATATTATATTATATTATATTTCATTTGATATAATAAAAGTTGAACACGTTAAATTTAATGTTACCACAAACCTCGCATGATTCGCCACAGCTACCAAAGCACGTCCACGATTGTAAGGTTTTATATCGAAAGTTCCAAATTGCGATAATTCTTTGGAAATCTACAAAATTAATATTACAAATATTTAATAAAATTATCTTACGATAGACAATATCATCGATTATTTCATCGACAAAATAACTTGATGTACCTTACTTATATCTAAATAAGTTGATTCTCGTGTTTTTACAAACAACCATGGTGGTCTTCCCGATTTTGGATCTTTACCATCAAGTTTCTAAAAAATTTATAATATTCAATATAAATAATAATATTATTAAATATAATTTCAACAAATAAATATAATATTTTTGTTCAATTTCAATCCAAAAAAAAAAAATTTGTATTCTTACCAAATAAAGTGCACTAGCATTTGATAAATTTATACAATTTGCATACTCTTCTATTAAACTCATTAATTCTTCTTGGCTTACGATGTAATTTGAAGACCTAAGAATTGTAACA